CCCAGAGTTCCTCAGCCAGCAAAGCTGGCTGAGGAACTCTGGGAGTTGAAGTCCACAAGTCTTAAAGTTGCCAAGGTTGGAGACCCCTGCCTGACCTATGGTTTATCAGGCCGTAGGTTTTATTTCTTGAATGGGACCAGGAAGTGAAAGCCAAGAAGTACTGTACCCTCATTGTAAAGCCATGCTATTCTTGCCCATTGAATACCATTAGCCGTAGATTATAAGTCCTGGTGGTTGGCTTCAAACAAATATGTGCCCCAAACAAATCACATGGCTTATTGTTGCACATTGCAACACTTGGGGCGCTTCAGATTGAGTTAGGAACTGCCCACGAGAAATTGGCCACCAACCTTGGCTGAGAAGGCCAGGTGACAGGAAGCAACGGATGATAAACACACGTCCCAGCCAAAATTCTGATGCACGAATTCCATGAGGATCACGTGGCATTTAGGGATACCGTACAGCTGATTGTGCAATTTTGTCACTTCTTAGGCAAATGTGAGTGGATCCAAAAAAAAGCCACATTTTCTCTTCTTCCTCCTGCTCACATGGAACAACTTTCCATGCGGTGGGGTGGGTGGGATTATTTGTAGAAGTTAATTTGGCATGAATTCTGCTATCCTGCTTGTTAAAATACTAACGCTCAACTCCTTCATACGACTTCAAGGTGTAATTTAAGTGTTACACAATGACAATATATTCACTGACCTCTTCAGACTGTAGTAGTGTAAACCCTGCTTCGCTTTACTGTCAGAATAAAGGACTTTTATTCTTACCACTCATTTCACTGTTATGAAACAAAAAAACAGCCTGTATGTTACACCAGTGCTAGCAAATGACCATTTATTTAAGAAAAAAAGGTTACTAAGCCATTACTTCCCAAAGTCAAGTGTAACGGGTGCAAAAGGCAAAATACTGTTACAGATTAGAAAAACAGCTCACGAGTTTCTATATATATATTTCAAATATTAAACTTTTAAACAGGATAAAGAAAACAATGAAGAAAGGGGACTGGAGAATTATACACCTGAAAACCTTGATCCACTATTGGTGTCTCTTCTATTGCTCACAGAAAAAAAACGAACGAACGAACAAACTATGCCACCAGTTTCAAAACTGGTCTTGTTTGGCAAACTCCCGAATACCTGGTCATGAGAGAAGAGCAATCTTCCACGCAGCAGAATTACTTTGCCGTTTTAGAGTCAAAGAGATACAGAGAGTAACCCACATTTGACAGAGAAGAGGGAACGGAACAAAGAATCTTTGATTATTATTATTTTTGATACAGGGGTAAAATGTTCCAGGTATTTTTGTAAGCATCACGCTGGAATGTCGAGCACAAGTAGAAGTACTGCAGAGACGACATCTGGGAAAGGAGAAATAGCTGACGCACTGAACACCGTTTCTAGGTTGTTTTAAACCTGTCTGCCCTAAACTAAAACATCTATAAAACCCCAAAAGCATATTCATTACCTACATTTACATATTCAACATTGAAAGGCGGAGGGGGGCCGAGAAGTGACACTTTTGCTAACACGACGTATTTTGGGGCTGCCACCTTTTCCTCATGTTTTAACGCACGGCTGACGGCTTCTTCTCATCAAATGAGCACTGAGAGCAGGAAGCTCCATATCCCCAAATACGCCAGCAGTAAAAATGAAAACCCCTCTGCGATTTCTTAGCGGAGTTAGTCGGCAAAGCTTGGGTCCCTTCTTGACAAATCCGCAGGTTGTACTTCATAAGGATAGGCCTCATTTTCCGAAACGCAACACACGGTTGCTTTCTTCTCCAGAAGCGGATAGAAGCCCAGAGTCGACCCGAGTGTTTTCCCACTGCCTTGAGGTCATTCCCAGTTGGTCTTCTGGGCCAAAGGAATTGGCCACCTGAGAGATGCTGGAGCTTCAGGTAGAACAAAGCAAGACGGATGCTGCCCACCTGCGCTGGGCTGCCCCACGAAAGAACAGGAGTCTGGAAAGTCAGTCCTTGTGTAAATGGCACCGTGGAGTTCAGGAAAGCAGAGGAAAGGGTGCTAGGGACAGAAGGAAGGAAAGGAGCAGAAACCGGTTCGCTGGTCCCTGGAGAGAAAACAAGGCTTCATTAACAACATTTGAAAGCACAGCACGGCCGCTTTCAGGACCTTACGTCATCCTCTTGGGACCGTTGGAAGGTATTAGCAATACAAGGCTGTGGCCTGGCTTGGCCCCTTGTTAAATGGGAAAAAAAAGCACAGTAGCTGAAGAGCCATTTGAAGTTTTGAACCTCATCACATTAGAAAAGAGGGAGTAACCATTTTATCACGTGGCTATTAATATTATCTCCTGCTTATCTTATTGGGAACAAGTGGATCGTTTAAAGGCAGGGTAGTCCAACCTTCGTTAAGACCTGCAGACTTCAACTACCAGAATTCCCCAACCAGCATGGGTTAAAGTCCACATCTTAAAGTAGCCAAGGTTGGACACCCCTGATTTAGGGAATCAATAGCCTGGCTCTTGAGCACACACAGTTGTAATTGTCCTTCTTTCCAATTTGCTTCTTTCGGTAGCAATTTGACAAAGACAGCAAAAGGAAGAAAGAGCTTGATTCCAGCCTGTTTTTTTTCTCACAGATTCGTTTCATTGCCAGCAGTTCCTCCTTTTGTTAAGGCCTTTTAGCATATTTTATTGTGTATCCTAAATACATCTTTAATTATGTCTGCTACTGATGCCGAGGGCCCACAAGATATTCAATATTTGGAAGTATTATAAATTGTCTCTTAAAAAAAAAAGGCTACCTTGAACGAGACTGAATCCTTTTTTTCTACAAAGAACCGATTCACACGAAGTTATAATTTAAATACAGCTTGCTGGGCAATTCATAGCTAGTGACACACCCAGGGGGGAGGAGGGGAAACAGGGTCATAGGTGACCGCAAATTACATCTGGCAGAATTGGCTTGCTGTCAGGGTTCCCATGGGCTGGTTGTCATCAATCACATTCTCCAATGAAGGACTTTTGTCGGCATAAGGTCTGGTAGCCTAGGCTACAATCTTTGTAAGATAAGCATGGAATGTACTTCCTGGTTTTAATTCCCACACTGCTCCTTCAGGTTGCACCCCCTCCCTGCTTATGGCAACCTGAAAACAGGCACAGGAAGGCTTTACAAGCTGACATCTAGATTCACAAATCATACTAAACCATGAATCATTATAAACCAATGACTGATTTTATGCCTTCGGGGCAAAACTCCGTTAGGTATGTTTTCTTTCCTCCCACTGAAATGTATTTCTGGTTCTTGGAGGTTGCCTGGACAAGACTGCCCTGCAGTTTTCTCCGCTGTTTTTTTTTGTTCTTTTTAGAAGTGGCTTGCCATTGCCTCCTTCCTAGCTCTGAGAGGGAGTGGCTGGCCCAAGGTCACTCGGCTGATAACGCCTTTTAGTTCAGTTCCAACGAGGGCGCAAGTCGTGCAAGATGCCCTCTGCTCAAGCTCTTCCATCACCCTCCAGCATGGCCGTATCGCATCCAAACTCCCAGAGGAAACCTAGGTCAACCTAGGCTATTCCAATCCAGACGAGCGCGGTAAAGCGACTTCTGTCAAAGTCAGCAGACACGGGTTCAGTGTAAAATTAGACATGAAAAGCTAGAAAAGGATGGCAGGTAATGCCAACCATGTTTATTGCCCCAGGCAAATGGTCTCTTCTGGAAGAAAATGAAAAAACAAAATAGGTAGTTCTTGACTTATAACCATTGGTTTAGTGACCGTTCAAAGTTATAATGGCACTGAAAAAAATGACTTAGGACCGTTTTTCACACTTACAACCATTGCAACATCCTCCTTGGTCACGTGATTTACATTCGGATGCTTGGCAACTGGTTCATATTTATGACGGTTGCAGAGTCCCAGGACGATGGGATCCCCTTTTGTGACCTTCTGACCAGCAAAGACAATGGGGAAGCCAGATCCACTTAACAACCGCAGTGCTTCACTTAACAACTGTGGCAAGAAAGGTCATCAAAAGGAGCAAAGCTCACTTAACAAATGACATAAATTTTGGGCTCGATTGTGGTCATACATTGAAGACTACCTGCAGTTAAGAAACCCACGATTTAAAAGGCAATATAAAACATTCAAAAGTCGTTTTTGAAGCCCCTATTACCCGGTGCTCATTTGGAGAGAGAGCAACCAGAAAAATGAAAAAATCAGAACATTGTTTTCTTTCCTCTTCTATTGCCCCACACTTGCCAGTGGCTCACAGAATTATAGCCTAGCAAACTTTAGGGATGACAACTACTGGAGCGAAACCAATAGCCCATTATCTCTCTGGAATTTCCAGGTGTATTTGTGGCCTAAAACGCACTGACAAATCTTCAGCCAGCGCAGCAGATGGAAAACAGGGTGGTTTCCAATGGGAGGGACAGAGGCTTGCACTACTTCAGTCACCAAGAGTTGGGGCTGTAAAACATGCCAGGAGGACAACATTTTTAAACTTCAACCCACAGGAGTGTGCCAATATTCATACACACAAAATATAACATACCGTATTTCCCCATGTATAAGCCACCCCTTTTTTCCAAAATTTTCAAGCCCAAAAAGTAGGGGGGTGGCATATACAAAGCAGGTACACTTTTTATACGTGAAAAATGCATAAAATAATAAAGTAGGAATAAACTGGTTTTCCAGCAGTATGCTATACTTTTTTGTAAAAATTGTACGTGATGATACGATTACGAGTGAGAGTACGCGACAGAAATGCATACGCTAGGCATCAGCCTGAATGCTTCGTTCCTACTCTCGTTCCGATGCGTAGATTGCTAGCGTCACCCACACCGCTTTCGGCGTCATGACCGAAGTTGTAGATCTAGACGTCGAATTTTGTTTCTTTGTAAATTTTCTTTCTTCATAACTTGTTTCTCTAATAAAATATTTTTTTCAAAACTTCACAGTCCAAAAATTGGGGGGGTGGCTTATACAAAGGGGGTGCTTATACATGGGGAAATACGGTAGATGTCAAGATCTTAAAAACACCAGTCGCTGATAGTTTATCATCACATAAGATCCGTATATACCATCCCTAATGTGCTTTATCTTGGTTTTTAACCACATCACCTTCCATGAAAGGGTGTAATTAGGTTCTTAAAAAAAGACTTTCTAAGTTAAGTATTAATTGTTAATGAATTACTGAGACTTTTATGCCACTTCATTCCAGAATGGGGTGGCTTCTTGTCTACCTAAAATCCTCCTTTCTGGCTACGTTCTGTTCTATTCAGCCATAATTAATTATTTAAAAGTAAAAAAAAAGGTGGGCTTGGAAACCGATTGCTTTTTCAAGTTTTGGCACGCCATTTGCCAGAACATCTTGAAACGTCTTACCGGCTGTAATATAGTTTTCCAGCACTTCTTTGCGATTTCTTTGGAAAGAACAAAAATTTGCTTGAATCCGGCATTTTCAAAACCTGAGCATCCTTGCGGTGCCCGAGACAGTTTAAATGGGGATAAGTACTACCGCCCCTGCCATTTACTGAGAGCACTCCTGTTATTTTAATTTACAAGTTTTCAGTCCAAGCCCCATAATCTCCACTTCCTCAGACAGTCTGCGTTTGAAAGACTGACAGGGCCAGGTTCTATGCTCTACATGTTGGCAAGCTGAAGACGCAGGTAAATGGTTTAGACATAATATAATGTATTAATTTAATTTACAGCCCACATCTTCCAGAATAGGGGAGAAAAGGAATTCTGGCCCATGCAACAAGTAAAAAACAGCAATAATTCATTCAGCGGCCACTAAGGATAAGTGGCTCCTTGAGCGTATTAGAATTAATGGCTCTTCCAAGCCCCAAAACCAGATGTTTTTCCCATAATGGGGTTGCCAATTGAGGCAAGCCTTACGCAACTGTATATTAAAAACCAAGACAAAAATGTACGTCTATGGTTAGAAGCAAATAAAAAAACTCTTTCACTGGGGTAGTTTGAAAGAAAGACGCCCGTTACCTGCTATACCACCGCTCTTTAATTTTAATGGTGAATCGTTGTACATTATTGTAGCAGAATTTTGGAGGTTTTGAAATGCCTAGATTTTATCAGTTATTGGGGACATACGAGTTACATTCTAATGTATTTAGGGCACTGTGAGGGGGCGCTTGTTCCTTAGAGTGTTGGTAGAATAGTCAGATAACTGGGATTTTGGATAGGGAGGTTTTGGTGAAGCACGGTTCAGAAAGCTCAACAGTTACGTATTCATAATAGTTTACCTTTGACATCAAAGGTTTATCTTCCACTGCTCACACCTCTGTCTTCATAAATGGTAATTTCGACCTGTAGAGACCATCTGTTAAGGAGCATTGCCAGCGTTCCAACTAATCAACTCCAACCAATAAACTCCGAGACAGGCATTCCTCAAAATCCCATTTTATTAGAACTGTCCTATTGGCACATCTGGGAAAACCCAAATCTGAGAGTTCCGGGTTTTCCCCTTCCCAAAAGAGAAATCAAAGATCCAACCCTTGCGCCCATCAGCCCATCCCATGGTCCAATCAAACATTATCCCAATTGGAGACATCCCTTCAGTCATTCCCCTCCAGGTGCAACCTGTCCTTGACTTCTAATTGTCCCAGCTCTCTATGAAATCCCCCCTCCTGAATTCCCAGGCACTAAATGTGGCAGCCTCGAAGCTTCTAGGTGAAATATGGCTTCCAAGGCTGACAGAAAATATTCTGCAGAGCAAGTCAGGGAGATTAAAGAAACGGAGGGAGACAATAGAGTTTAATCTAGATTTATAACTTGACGTCCTTCAGAAGTGCTGGACTTCTAATCTTGACTTGGAGGCCAAGGATTTTGGAAGCTGAAGTTCAAGCTCTAGGGATGCTACCAGGAGAGAGAGAGAGTGGATTGCTGCATTTCTCTTTGCAATGGTTTGTTCGTGTGTAAATAGCAGTATTCCAGTATTTGAGGGGCTGCCACAAAGAAGAGGGGGTCAAATTATTCTACAAAGCACCAGAGGGCAGGACAAGAAACAATGGTTGGAAACTAATCAAAGAGAGAAGCAACTTGAAATTCAGGAGAACAGTGAGAAAAATTAACCAGTGGGGAATAACTGGCCTTCAGAAATCATGGGAGCTCCATCACTGGAGGTTTTTAAGAAGAGACTGAACAGTCACTTGTCTGAAGTGGTATAGGATTCTCCTGCTTGAGAAGGGGGCTGGACTAGAAGACCTCCAAGGTCCCTTCCAGCTCTATTCTATGCATTCATTCTCCTTCTGGTGACAGAATTGCCCCGAGAAGCAAAAACACACACACTCCCTCGGTAGCAATCTTGAATATTCAGAGATATGGAAGGGCGTTTCTTCTAAAAGTCCATCAGCTAACCAGAATCTAATCATGGCACCTTAAATGACAGGCCTGTTATTTGGGGCTTATGACATAAAGGCCTGTTTGCTATAGAATTAAGGAGCAGAACTGAAATAAATAAAAGTAACCTTCACAGCATGAATCCTGGAACATCAAAATCATCAACAGTTTCACTCGGCTCCGTCATTTATTTTTAAAAAGCCACTGTGTGGTTTTTCAAGTGCATGAAGAGATGAAGAAAGAAAGTCAATCCACGAGCTAGCAAATGTTCAGGAACCCACAGGAAAGGATACAACTCTTAGTCCCCGCTCAATGGGGTCAGTCAAGAGGAGGCCTTGTGGAGCGTAGATCTTCTCGTTTTGCTCCTGAATGTACTTGGCAATTTTCTTTAGAACCTGGAATAAAAAGACAGATGCTTGTTTCAATTCCAGTTGTTATAAACTCTTGGTAATACTTTTAAATGACGAAGGTCTGACAAGAGGGAGATTCATGAACATGTTCAAGCAAATCATTCTCTCTTACAATCACCCTCACAGAATTAATTGTTGTTATGGGAGCCCTATATTGTGATTAAATAAAACGCATTCCAAATAAAAATACTGGTACTCAACTCACAAGGTTCATGAGGAAAGGTTAAATCATTAGTTGCTATAGTAGCAGGGAATCATTACATAATTTAACATCATTCTCATAGAATTTTTTTAAAAAAGTGCTTTCTTATCACAGGACATTCCTGTGTTTAACCAACCAAACAACCACACAACCCAGCCAACTCATCCACCCATGATTTAATGATCTGACTCAATTATCTTGGTTTCCACAAGACTGAACCATAAACTCAATGTACACACATTACACTGGGCCACAAATTGGAGCACACCACATTTTAGCTCAAAATATTGTATACAATATACATTATGCCCAAATATAAAGTAGCCCAGAACACTAATACACTTAACAACTGTTTACAGCCACTAGGGGAAAAAAAGTCTTCTACCATCAAGGTCAACTCATGGTAATGTCAGGGACACTTCCTTGAAAAAAAAAACCCTACAATTTTCCTAGCAGCCAGCAATGTGGAAGACGATTTCCCATTCTGCCATGATATTTGTTTTCTTAGTCTAGCCTACATCCCAATAGTTTCCCATCCAAGTATTGGATCCTGATTATATTTAACTTCCTACCGCACAGAATACCTGCAAGCTATTCTCACAACTGACTCTGACCTCTCCCTGCAATGATGGTATGATGTTGTACGCAATTGGGCACACACATGAAATATTACTCTCTTGAGACAATGCTACCAACAACTACTATGGCAAATGCACCCTTGCCACCAACCCCAGTGGAAAAATGGAAAGGTTGTTTGACACAGAAATGGACGTTGCCTGGATCACAACGGAGTAGCCACAACATGTGTCACTTCAAATATTTGTAAAAGGTTCTCTTCAACTAGAGATTAGCGTTAAGACAGAAGTGGGGTGCTTGGAAAGTATTTTATCCCAAGTTCAGAATAGGCAACATTCTGAAAGCCAACTTGGCTGGAACTAAATGTGTTCTGTGTCTATTTTCAAAAAGAGAATACCACAAAGGGAGTCTCAGTAGAGAGACCTCTGAGTAGCCACAGACTGGCACAAAATCCCGATGATATAAAATCGGGAACAGAAGCTATTAGCGTGAAACTGATACTCCCTGGCAAAGTCAGAGAACCCTGTCATGCTGACTTCTGAGAAAATATGACCTTTTCTAAATTTTCTAAAAGATCATTATCTGGCCAAAAACCAAGGCTTTTAAGGCCAGGAAAGTGGTGGGTGGGGAAAAAAAATGCCATTCATATTTTTTTTTCAGGAAAGCCACCCTGAAATGTTATCAATGGCAGGAAAGACAACTAGCTGGTAGGGGCAATAAGAGTGTGGAAAGGAAGCAGCAAAAGTTATTTTCGGTGGCTGAAGTTATGGCAACAAAACCCTAAGTGAAATAGAAGGAGGCTATCTTGCTTGAAGCAGCTCAAGGCAGCCTTCATAGCACCATGCTGTTCTCAAAAGGAGCCTGTGTACTCAACCACATAATTCATTGGTTGATTTTAAGGTTTATTTCTCTCCTGTTTTACAAGGCTCCTTGTAGAAGCACAAAAGGAAGATTCCCCAGGTAAAAGGAAGGCAAGATACACTTTTAAGAAACAAAGACCATGAAAAAGGAGTAGGAAGAGCCTTTGTCCAATGTACTGAAGTACAGCTCAAAGAGAGAAGCGACCTAGAACCAAGGAGAAATTTTCTGACAGTTAAAATCAGTGGACTGGCTTGCCTTCAGAAGCTGCTGTATTAATGCTCTTTTGAATCACTCACAGTTGGCTGGAAGCACTGTATGAAGCCGTAAATCGTGGTTTATAAACTAGAATGATTAGGTTCACACAATACACTAACTCTGCTTAGCAAAATGCAGGAACAAGATTCCACTGTGATTATCTCCTGGCCATACCCTTGTTTTCATATTCCATTTGCCTACCGCTTTTATAGTTGTTTGTGTTTTTATTAGTTTTTATAATTTCATTGCTTTGTAAGATTTTCATGTTCTTGTGATATAAGCTACAAGAAGTCTCTCTTTTTTTAATGTTGCAACATATAAACACAAGAATTAAATAAATTTTATCTGCCTTGTCTGGAAGGAAAAAAAACCCACACATAATGGAACGTTTCCCCATCTAAACAGAACCTGTGCTAATCTAGCCTTCCTCTTGATGTAGTTAACTTTTTCATAGGCAGACACTTTGATTTATACCGAAATATTCTATCAGGTGATACAGCTCTATCCTAGGGGAGCAGATGCCGGAGAGTGAGTCCTAATACTTAGCTACATGAAGCTAAATACATCTCCTGTAACTGCTATCAAAAAATCAGAATGGAAAATGACATTCTTGACCATAGAATGGAAGCAATAAACCACATCCTGCTCAGGCTTTAATAAATGAGGTTTAACAGGATGTCTTTCCAATATTTTATTGCAAAGGGATTAGATGCTGTTCCTTCTGTGGAATTTTTTTTTTCTGCCATCAAGCCTCCAAGTTGGTATACATTACCCCCCTTTTTTTCCTTTTAGGGAAAGGAAGTCAGCTGACCTTTTCATAATGTGTCTCCATGCACAGAAATATAGTGTAGGCAGTCAAGCAAGCCAAGCACCCTTCCAGGTAGGACTGGCTCCCAAGTTTCTCCGCTTCAGCATAAAGGTTATTCAGGGTTCTTATAGTTTCTTCAAACTGCTGCCTGTCAATCTGAACAAAGGATCACATTTAGAAACAGACATTCAGGCAGGTACAAAATCTACTTTCTTGAATGGAAACAACCTTCAACATATTTAGATGAAAGCCATATGCAATTTCAATGGCTCAGATCCCCAGGAAATAGAACTTGACTTCTTGGATGAAAAGTTATATGCCAGGAGCCTCGTGTGCAGAACTGGGGCTAAGGAAACAATTACAAGTTTTAAAATAGTCACAGAAAGAATGCAATTTCCTTCAGAAAAGCATTTCAATATATTTTTTCAAAGCCGTTCCTGGCACAACTCAATTCACAAAAGAAAGCAATCAGCTGCTACAATGAAAACAGTATGTTTTTCCTTGGTGGAACTGCTGATCAAAAGATCACAATGAGAAATCATATTTGCTTTTGCTTTCAACACTGATATCCACCCAGCATAAGTAGCCAGTAAATTAGAGTATTTGAGAACAAAAATACCAGAAAATTCTCAACAGCAGAGAAAAGTTTGACCCATGTAGCAAGAACAGTAATTCCAGAACATACAAGGGTTTATTATTCTTAAACCATTAAGGTTTAATATACAGTATTTTTTCTCCTTTTCTTTCACTTGGAAGCTGAAAGGTGCTTTGAGGCAGAAATCTCAGGCTAGATCCATTGTGTTATATAATTTCTTTATTAATTTTTATTGTGCCTTTATTACTTACTAGGAGAATTGTTCTATACAATAAAGTTTACTTCTTAGCATATATAAAGTTTACTTCTTAGCTGTCAGATTCCTAGTTACTTATATCACAAATTTTGACTTTCCTCCAGGAATCTTAGAAGCCGAAAATGCTGCCCTCAAAGTGCAAGTACTCAAATCCTGAGGTCCTTAACTAGATTAGTTAAATGTGATCTTAGCAGCTCCATATTCATACATGCTACATTTGATTAGACTTATTTTGTGGCTTTCTGAACAGCGCCAATCCAACCTATTTTATTATTCATTGCATTGATCTGAACACAGAAACCTGCGATCTATTCTGCCATCCTGTTTCTATGGTTCTTGTGGGTATTAGCCACACTGAAGTAACACTCCAGCAAACATATTTGATCGATTGAACTTATATGCTACTAAATCCTTGCAAATTAATGTCACTTTTCAATCCAATTAAGACATCTGTAGCAGCAATATGTAGAAAATTTCCAGAGTCTTCAGTAAATATTAAAACTAAGTGCTCTTTTTCCAGCATTGTCCGAAACATCTTCAGTATAAAACCATCTATAATAATGCAAAAAATAGCCCTGACTGAAATCCAGAGTTGTTGTTTATAATTCTATTGTTTTTATACTATTGTTTTCTATCATACTTTGACATAATTTGTATGCTGCCTAAAACCTTTAGAGTGAAATAGCTTATGAATGTTATAAATGACTGGGGGACTTTGGACCAGTCCCTCTTTCTCAACCCTGGGAAGGATGCAACAGCAAAGCACTTCTGAAAAACTTGACAAGAAAACTGCAGAGACTTGTCCACGCAGTCACTTGAGGTCAAGACAGACTCGAAGGCACAAACTCTCTCTCACACACCCCACCTATGTATTCCTAGTGTCATAGAAAAAAAGAACCCTGTCCTTAGCATCTACACAGTATCTAAATCAGGGGCATCCAACTATGGCAACTTTAAAGGTCTGTGGACTTCAGCTGCGAGAATTCCCCAGTCAGCCATGCCAGCCACCCATGAATGCTCTTCTCCGTACTCGCCATCCCGCTCCCTGAGTGTTCACAAGACTCCCAAGGGAAAGGGGCTCTCAGAAGTCTATTTTGTTTTGCTTTGATCCCAGTGCCCTTAAGAGGGAACCATGTGCAGTAATGCCTTCCTAATCATTATTCTCCAAAGCACCTGAGAAGGCAGGACAAGAAACAACGGAGGGAAACTAATCAAGGAGAGCGGCAACCTGGAATTAAGGAGAAACTTCCTAACAGTGAGGACAATTCACCAGTGGAACAGCTTGCCACCAGAAATCGTGGGTGCTCCATCACTGGAGGTTTTTAAGAAGAGACTAGACAGTCACTTGTCTGAAACCGTATAGGTCCTCCTGCTTGAGCAGGGGGGCTGGACTAGAAGACCTCCAAGGTCCCTTCCTATCCCTATCCCATCCTATCCTATAACCAAAGGCTCCACTGCCAAATACCCTGCCATACAGAGCTGATGTCACTTGGTCCTTGTCGGGTTTTATTCTTTTGGTTAGTGGCAGATTCAAACCTGAATAACGTAACCCCAAGAACTGAAGCCCAAATGAGAGATGCTTGGACAGGATGTCCCGTCTTGCTTTAGTTACCACTGTAATGAAGGGATTTCCACAGACAACACTGGCACTTGTGTGGTTAATTGCTTGTGCTCAGCAGTCAGCCGGACAAACCTGTTTTGCATACTTCTGAACCGGAAGTAGGCACCATCCAAGGGTTACAGCTCTGAGATTTCACAGCCAAAGCTTATGTCTGTCCTATAAACTTAAATCCAATCAAAAGTTACCATCCTGCAAAAATCAAAAGTATGAGAAACCAAAGAATTCAAGCGGTAGAATTAATGATTCAGTGGTTTCTAGAACAGCTCTTTCAAAACCTCTACGGTAATAGGATTTCAGTTAAAACAACAACACTGATCTCTCATTTGTTGCTTTAGATAGAAGATGATCTCCCATACTTTGCTTTGAAAAAGATGGCTTTTTTCTGCACCTCTGTCACTATTTATTTCAGTTTAATTATAAATATAATTTACAATCTTGAGTGTCAAATTTAAAAAAACAACAACCCAAAGACAGAATGGTAAAACAGCTAAAGACAACTGATGCAGAAATCCAGAAGAAATAAAATCCAGAAGAAACACAACTTTGCAGTGAAGATTGTGTAGGAGGAAAGCCTCATTAGTCTACAACTGGTCTTCAAACTTGACAGCTTTAAGACTTGCGGACTTCAACTCCCAGAATTCCTCCTCCAGTCAGGTTAGCTCAGGAATTCTGGGAGTTGAAGTCCACAAGTCTTAAACTTGCTAAGTTTGAAGTCCCTTGGTCTACAATCACCCCAAACCAGGAGATTGGTAGGATCTTTTCCAACCAGCAAATTCCATTAAAGGACATAAATTGCAGCCAATCAACTTGCTAGTCAGAAAAGTTGCTACCAGATTCGTTTTGATTCTATGCAGTGTAATGAAATGGCAATTTTAACTTAAGGAAGAATCTACCCTTTCAAAAAAGTACTTTCATTGCTTTCAAAAAGCCAAAAAATGTTTTTACTCCGAGTGATTTTAGTTGTATATAATTACTGCTCAGTCATTAGCCTTTGTTTATACACGAGACAGCAACATAGAAATCACGGTTAACCCTTCCTCTCTTCTGTTCCACCCAGCCCAAGGCAACAATTAATGATGGGGGTTGGTGTTCTTTCATTATCCAAACTAGGTAACACCACTGGTGCTAGTAAGGAATGGAGTTTGCTCTCTATATTCTAGTGGCTTGCCCTGTCATTGTTGTTGGGATGGTCTTAGAGGTTTAGGTTCTACCCGTCTCTAAAATCCACCTATACTTAGCATTATCAGAGCTAATTTTATGTAACTTGGCTCTTCATTTTTCATAACTGTTGAAGGAAATACAATATAACGCAATGCAATTTAGTGAAGCCTTTGTAGCCCTTTAAATAAAACAGCCTTAGACTGGGCACAGAGCCACTCAAAACGCTCCCATCAATGCTCATTCTAAGACAGCTAGGAACTGGAGTTCATCATCATTTGTAAGAGCAGATTTTTTTTCCCCTATCAGAAAACAGGTTTTCCATCTGGAGCTGATTTAGCAAGTGACAAATCCTAGTCCCTGAAGCCAAAGCATAAAGGGCAGCAGGGAAGTTTCCACAAACATGGGAGGAGGGTGCTGCTAGTGGGTCCACAAAGAGCTGGCGCACCTGCTGTGCGAACTCTTGCAAAGCTGCTGATACAAAAGACACAACTGACAGAATGCCTTCACACTCACTGTCCATCCCTCGCAGCAGAATACTCCCAAGTAATTCTTTGCTTCGTACCAGGCTAGCTCCTCACTTTTTAATTAAAATACCTACCGTAGATACAGATTCAGCTGAGACACAGAACCAAGCAAGCCACTATGAAAGGTGGGAAATTTGGTCCCTCAGGCACAGTGCATTTTGTTTTATTTATTTTGATTTGTCAAGCGATTATAAGATAACAGGTATAAGGATAAACATAGTTATGAATACATGAATTGGGTACATGTAAGAAAAATAAAAGAAACAATAGGACAGGGACGGTAGGCACATGGATGCGCTTATGCACACCCCCTACAGACCTCTTAGGAAAGGGGTGAACAGCCTAAGGTTAAAGTTTTGGGGTTTGGGGAAGAAACCAGAGACAGGTGGAGTATTCCAAACATTGACCACTCTGTTTGCTGAAGTCATATTTCCTGCAATCAAGTTTGGTGTGGTTTACCTTGAGTTTGTATCTATTGTGCGCTCTTGTGTTGTTATGGTTGAAGCTGAACTATTCATTGACAGGTAAGTCATTGCAATGTATGATTTTATATACCATGCTTAGATCGGACCGAAGACGGCGTAATTCAAGGTTTTCTAGATCTAGAATTTCAAGTCTGGTGGCATAAGGTATTCTACAACAAGTAGAAGAGTGGAGAAATCTTCTTGGGAAATATTTCTGGACTTTCACAACTGTGCTAATATCAGATACGTAATGTGGGTTCCAGACTGATGAGCTGTATTCGAGTATTGGTCTAGCAAATGTTTTGTATGCTCTAGTTAGTAGCGTGATATTACCAGAGAAAAAGCTACGTAGGATTAGGTTAACAACTCTTAATGCTTTTTTGGCTATGTAGTTGCAGTGGGCTCTAGCACTTAGGTCATTAGAGATGAGTATTCCAAGGTCCTTGACAGAGCTTGGATCATCAACAAGGTCTTGACTATTCAGCTTGTATTTTATTTTCTGATTTCTTTTTGCCAATATGTAAGACAGAGCATTTATTTGTTGAGATTTGAAGTTGCCATTTGTTTGACCATTCTGATAAATAGTCAAGATCTTTTTGAAGGGTAGCAGTATTGTCTGTGGTATTGAACAGCTTTACATCATCAGCGAAGAGAACACAGTTGCTCTTAATATGATCACAGAGGCCATTTATGTAGAGTATGAAAAGAGTCGGTCCTAGAACACTGCCTTGGGGGACACCACTATTGACAGATACAGAATTTGATAGGACACTCCCAATTTTGACCATTTGTTGTCTGTTTGACAGGAATGCTTCTATCCAGTTATGCAGGTGTCCAGAGACACATTATATGGATCCAACCAGTTTTGGCTTGTTAAAGCTAGGGATAGTTTAAAGCTAGGGATTACTCACCCGATTTTCCAATTCTGAGGGGAATTTGGTCTGGAACTGGCACTTGGTGCCACTGCTGTAGTCCCTTTGGATGAAGACTTTGCTGGCAACAGGCGGCTGCTGTGGCCTCATCTCGCAGCTCAAACTGGCCAGTCTAGGTGTGAAAGGATAGATAAGGTATCAAAGTACGTCCCACTCTTATCAGGTCACTCTAGTTTTATATCCCGTGTGCTGGCTGCATTGGAACATGTGCCTGGCTGATCAGCTCTCTGGTTCTACACACTGGGCAACTATTATAATCAGTTAAATGGTCCTATACATTTGGCATACATACTGAAGGCATTATTCCCTCTACTTAAAAAGGATGAGTATTTAATAGGTATAATGACATTGCTCTAGTCATGAGATACAAGTGATGTTCAACATCCTGCTTTTTGTACTGTAATCTTGAACGTACTCCAAGATGGCTCTTTGAAACATGATTCAGCTCTCCTCGCAACTCAAGAGCCCCGCTGCTGTGGTTGTTTTTAAGGTCAGTGAGGAGAGACTGAAGAGACTGGGAATATTTAGACGGCAGTTTCCAAATGTATGAAAAGAAGGGGCCTTGTTTCCATCATCCCAGAAGGCTCAGCATGGACCAGTAATCTGAAGTCAGAGGAAAGCATACCCCAACTGAGTGTTAGGACAACCTTTCTAATGATAAGAAGAATTCAGCAGTGAAAGCAATGGCCTAGGGACTGTGCCTATTTGAAACAGATTCAGTGGCTTCCAAGGCATATACCATCTCTAAGAGTCTATGCCAGTAAGAGGTACATGATCTATTGCTAATTTTCTCTGTCTCAAAGATCCAGAGCTTGTTCCACCCTTGGCTCACCTCAGCACTAAGAAGAATTACTTAACATATTGCAATTGAATCTTTTAGCTTAAGAATTCCCATGAATGTACTGGTGGAAACAGGGCTGGTGTAATCAGAGCAAAACTGCTCCCTCTTGACGCAGGTCCAACCACCCAGTTCAAATTGCCTCTCTGCCCCCAAATTTATTTTTTATTTACTTACATGTATCCTGCCTTTACTATGTTTACAAATAACTTAAGGCGATGAACATATCCAACATACCTGCCTTCTCCTATTTTCCCCACAACCACCACACTGTGGGATGGGTTGGGCTGTGAGCGAGTGATTGGCCTAAAGTCACCCAGCTGGCTTTCACAACTAAGGCAGGACTTGAACTCAGTCTCCAGCTTGCAACCCCGGTGCCTTAACCACTAAACCTAAACTGGCTCCCATCAAATCAAAGAAAGGGAGTTGAAATTCATGCAGATAAGACAGGTGGCCTTAGAGCAGCCAATCACAGCCCAATCATCCGTAGTGGCACAGTGGCTAGAGTGCAGCATTATAGACTAACTCTGCCCCTGCCAGGGGTTCGATCCTCACCAGGCTCAAGGTTGACTCAGACTTCCATCCTTCCGAGGCCAGCAAAATGAGGACCCAGATTGTTGGGGGACAGGAGGCTGACTGTAAACCGCTTAGTGAGGGCTGTAAAGCACTGTGAAGCTGTATATAAGTCTAAGTGCTATTGCTATCAACACCTGACATGAGCCATTTGATTGTAGCTAATGCTGGAGACAAAAATAGCCCTTAATATAGGCTATTAGTCTCCAGCATAAAGGGCATTCATACTTCTGGGCAAACAGCTCAATTGCTTAGGTACCCAGAGTAAAGCATAACCCTACTCCTATTTTTGATGTCAGCAAAATGAGGACCCAGATTGTTGGGGATGCAGTAAAACGCTTAGAGAGGGCTGTAAAGCACTGTGAAGTGGTATATAAGTCTAAGTGCTATTGATACTTGTCTCCCATCTAAATAGAAACCGGGGTATCTTATCTATGGTTTCTTTCCCCCTGATGTGGATGGATACGAAACACCAATTTTTTGATAGCTTCAGAAGAGGCTCTTATTTAAAATCATTTTCACAATTGGAGAGAAAAGAGCAAAGTTTTTCCTATGGTGGCTCCCCATTTTGATGGCAGTGCTTTTCGCCCCCCACAAGCTATTGATATCCTCTTTCCATCTTTGAACTCCAAATCAAATCAGGACAACTGCATCCACGAAGCACTTTAAAATGCACCCTATTCTTTCGATGTCCTCCTCTTTCCTTTTGAGACCAACTTTCCTCCAACTCCCTCTCCAGTCCAAAGCAGCAGGGAGTAAAAGAGGGAATCCCAGGTATAAAAGCCCAGAAACCTACAGTCCAAAAATTTGTACCAATTTCCCCCTCTCCTTCCTACAGCTGCAAAAGCCAGGGGTGGGGTGTGGGTACGCTTTCCTATGTGCCACAGCCTTGCAGGGTATCGTTTCCTGCCCCATCTCCGGTTTTTGCCCTGTAACAGATAAGATAATCAGAGTTGGAAGGGACCCTGTAAGTCATCTAGTCCAACCCCCTGCCCAAGTTGGAGACCCTACACCATTTCTGACAGATGGCAGTCCAGTCTCTTCTCTTCTTCATCCTCCAGGGATGAAGCTCCCACAACTTCCGAGGGCTACTTCTGTTCCATGGGTTGATTGCTCTCACTGTCAGAAAATTCCTCCTTATTTCCAGGTTGAATCTCTCCTCCTTGATCAGTTTCCATCCATTATTCCTTGTCTGGCCTTTGGGTGCTTTGGAGAATAGCCTGACCCCTTCCTCTCTGGGGCAGCCCCTCAAATATTGGAAGACTGCTCTCCTGTCTCCCCTGGTCCGTCTCTTCACTAGACCAGCCAGGCCCAATTCCTGCAACCGTTCATTGTATGTTTTAGCCTCCAGTCCCCTCATCATCCTGGTTGCTCTTCTCTGCACTTTTTCTAGAGTCTCAACATCTCTTTCACAGTGTGCTGACCAAAACTGGATGCAGTACCCTAGGTGTAACCCTACTCCTATTTCCGAGGTCAGAGAACCCTCTGTGTGTGTGCACACAAACTCTACAGCTCATTTTTCACCCCTTCATATATTTCAGATCGACCCCCCCCCCCCCCAAATAAGAACCATATACGATACGAAAATGATTCCATCCACGCCACTTCGCCCCAGCCTACGTCGAATAATAAAAAATAAGGATAACATCGATCCATCCTCCCAGAGACTCCTGTGTATGTGTGTGTGTATCGGTCACTTTGGAGAAGCCTGGCTTATGCCAGAGGGACAATATACCCCCCCCCCCAAAAAAACCACCCCCTCCTCCCCCCAAAAGAAAAGCAAACTCTTCCTAAGCAGCAGCCCCTTTATATGGCAGCTCAGGGGCTGAAGTCCATTCTGCCAAGGGCAGGGAGGGGGGGGAAGGAAGGAAAGGGGGGGGGGTTTAGATGTTTAAAGGCTGTGTGTGTGTGTGTGTGTGTGTTTTAAATTAGACATTTTCGCCTAAAGACCAAGGCCCTAAGGAGACCCTCCCTCACCCCCAGGGAGCCCCCTCCCCACCCCACCCCCCCACTCCCAGCGCTACAGGGCCAGCCTTTTTTTCTCTCACAAGTTTAATTCCTCCCCCCCCTTAAATTGCCATGGGGCTCCCCCCTCTTTTCAGCCTCCCTTCCTCCCCCTCCCCCAGGAAGAAGTGCCCTGAAGCCCCCCCAACCCCTCCCCAAGAGAGACAGGGCCGGAGAAGGAAGGGATGCCCTTTTCCGCCCACACGGCCTGAGGGGAGGGGGTGTTTCCCAGCCCCCGCCTCAGGAAAAGAACAACAACCCTCCGAGGTAGGCCAGGCCGGGCTGTCAACGAGTCGGCCCTGAGGGGGATTCCCGCCAACCGCCATTTCCCCACCCCCCCCCCCCCCCCCCCCC